AAGCAGATGCAAATACCACAGGCAAAGTCCACAGTGCACCACAGGGGAATACACCAGAAGAGATCATGATGCTCGAACATTTAAACACAACAACAACATCAGAATTTCTGGCCAATGTCCTCTTTTACATTGGAGGTTTTATTGTGTCCAAACTTGTTCAAGAGCTTGAATGTCCATTTTGCAAAAGCTGTCTTCTTTCCTGTTTTTCCACACCAACTCCTGACCACGACTACTGTGCAATGGGTACAATAAAGTAAGCACAGCTTCTGCTTTTACATTGTTCATCAATAACAGTGGTCTGCGAATCCCTTCACAGTCAGTCTACCAAGTTGTTGAGTTTTCTGAAAAAGTATTTAAAGCATATGTATGTAAGGAAGGTCGAACCATCACAAGGGAGAAAAAATTAAAGCAGAGAATGATCATGGAGGTATGTCAACACTTTGTCATGGATTCAAAGCAATTGTTTGACGATCACCAGGAAGGATGGCCAACGAGAATGTGTTCGAGGACGACCATCGCACATTACTCATCAAACTTACTGCAGACAAGTACTTTACACTAAGACTATTCACCTACAGCAAACGCTACGAGACGGTTGTCACCGAAGGGAAGCCAAGCAACAGACACAAACTTACCAAGTTAATCTTGTTCAGAAACGTACCAGTGAAATCGTGAGTAAATATTATATTTCGATATATTGGTGTGTCAAGTATAGTATATAAGTGAAAAGCAGTAATATTAACAAGGAATAATATAACAAAAATTTTACATCCCTGTATATTAAAAAGTCCCAAGATCCAAGTTCATACAGCGACGCAGCGATGTTGTTGGGAACTGACCAAACAGATAAGATATATTGTATAACACTTTAGGGAGGGATAGTTAATTAGGGAGATTAGTCATAGTAGGTATCAGTGAGTGTCATCGTGACAGTGAGAGAGAACGGATGTGAGACAGCTGCGACGAGCATACAATGTGATTTTGGGTATTCTTATATTTTCTGTTAAAACTTATATATAAATGTGATTTGTCGAGGACTACTGTTTTGGAGGCAAACATTCTCGACACATGGCACCTCCTAAAGGGATAGCTGAAACGCCAGTTAACTTATCTTAAGTACGAATCAACGACAAAACGTGACATGGAGAAGCTTGAGACAAAGCTGAAACAGTTGAACCTAGGAGTCCTTCGAACGAAGAATATCTTGGACTCAGGTAAGAGAGAATCAATTAAGCGGCATCTCGATGCGCTACGTGAGACTGTTCGGGAATCAAACGAACTTAAACGAGCTGCTGAAGCGGCAAAAATCGAACTAGGCGAAAGCGTCGAGAAAATTAATGATTGGAACAATGAGACTGACGCTAAGATTGAACTGGCGGACATTGAAATTGATCAGTTAGAGAGTTGGCTTGCGGAAAAGGAACGTTCCGAGCATCTCATAGCACAAGAGAAGCAGTTTAATGTTTAGTTAAAACTGCATGAAAAACGCATGAAAATGAAGGCTGAACTTGAACTAAGTAAGACCGCAACGGAAGTTCAGGAATGCGCTGGATTTAAGACAGCTAAATTACCCAAGTTAGAAATATCAAAGTTCGAGGGTTCGATTATGGATTGGCCTAGGTTCTGGGGGCAGTTTGATGAAGCAATAGGAAAAAGTTCAATCGCACCTATCAGTAAATTTACCTACTTGCACGAGCTGCTTGTGCCCAAAGTAAAACGCTGTGTTGAAGCCCTTCCGTTTACACCAGAGGGTTATAATCGAGCCAAGGCAATCCTGAAAGACAAATACGGTAAAGAGTCCGAAATAGTGAACAGTTACGTCAAAGAAATACTAGAATTGCCCCATATTACAACAGGAAATCCACGTAAAATCGCCGAATTTAGCGAAAAACTGTCTTATTGTGTTCAAGCGCTAGAAACCATGAAAAGGCTTGATTCTGTGCAGGGAAATGTATCAATGACCCTCGAGAAATTAGTCGCAATTAGGGGAGACTTAGTTCGCACTGACGCTGAGTGGGAATCCTGGGATTTTGTAAAGTTAACCGAAGCTCTGCGCCATTGGGTGAAACGTAACCCAGTCGTATCTAATGACAGAGAGCGTGAAGAGAACAATCGCGATCGTAGAAAATTATTTAATGCGCGGGGCGAAGAAGTTAAGCTAAGGGGCTGTGTGTATTGTGGGGACACTGGTCACAAAGCGACGCAGTGCGAAAAGGTCATCGACACAAGCGAGCGCAAGAAAATCCTTGCAAGAAGGGGTTTGTGTTTTAATTGCGCGACGAGAACACATCGTGCGACAGAATGTTCAAGCAAAGCATCCTGTCAACACTGCAATAAACGTCACCACTCCTCAATTTGCGACCAACGTCAACAAAACGCCGAAGGGGAGCGCAAACTGATGACAGACGGTGTCAGCGGTGATGGTGTTTTCCCGGTAGTCGTAGTAACAGTAAACGGTGTAAAGTGTCGTGCACTAATTGATTCTGGCGCCGGCGGGTCGTATGCCTCAGCCAAGCTGATTAAGATGATTGATAGTAAACCGATTGAATCCAGAGTACAACGTGTTGACATGCTCCTAGACTCGAAGACAACCCGGATGGAATTTTACGACACGGAAGTACGCGCCTTAGACGGAAATTTCAAAATGAACGTGAGAATGGCCAAAGTGGAAACACCAGAACTATTAACTATTAATAACCCGAACTATGAGAAGCTAATTCGTGATTATAACCACCTTGGGGACGTTCTCATTGATGATTGCGATACGAAAGATAGATTGCCCATTCACTTAGTGCTCGGTAACGGCGAGTACGCACGAATCAAAACAAGTACGAAGCCTGTTATCGGCGGCGACCACGAACCGGTGGCGGAAAAGACGAAGTTGGGCTGGTTCATCATGAGCCCCGGAATCGATTTCGACCGCAATACGATGTTATTAACCCAAACTGCGCACTTCGAAACTTCGGACTTCGAAAGCCTGGGTAGATTAGACGTGCTCAGCCTGGCAGATACGATGGAGAACGACCAGAATGCGGTTTACGACGATTTCAAGGAAACCCGTGATAATTTATACGTCGATGATTTAATTACGGGGGGAGAGAACGTGGAATCCGTGGCAGGGAAAGGATCGCAAGCAATCGAGGTGTTTGAAGATGCGACATTCAAATTTCACAAGTGGCACTCGAGTGATCTTACCTTAGAGAACCACAACCAGTCGAGTCCAGCCAACGAAGATGAAATGACCTACGCCAAAGAACAACTTGGATCGGGAAAGTGCGATACGAAACTCTTAGGACTTCCGTGGAACAAAATTGAAGATACCGTGAGCATTGTAACCTCGCCGCCTCGGAAGAATATAGCAACGAAACGTGAAGCGCTCTCGGAGCTTGCAAAAATCTATGACCCCCTTGGGTTGGTATCTCCAACGACGTTAATGGCAAAGATACATTATCGTGAGATGTGTGAAGCGAAACTTCCATGGGACGGAGAGTTGTGCGAAGCGACGAAACGACGGTGGGAAGAATGGGGAGCCCTGATTTCTAAGAAATGTACCATTCCACGTACCTTGGCCCCAGTCCACCAACGTATAATAGCGGTTACCCTCCATGCCTTCGGTGATGCAAGTAAGTCGGGTGTCTCGTCAGTAGTGTACGCAGTGGTGCAGCAAGAGGAGACTAAGACTCAAGGTTTGGTTTGCGCAAAATCACGTTTGGCCAAACAAAACCTTACAATCCAGGGTCTCGAGCTCGTGTCAGCACATATGGCCGCCAATCTTGTGTCAAATGTCGAAAGGGTAATTGAAAACTACGAAGTGAACGGAACTCATTGTTGGAGTGACTCTACTGTGGCCCTGTATTGGATTAACGGACAAGGAGAGTATCAACAATTCGTGTCAAATCGCGTGAGGAAAATTCGAGAGCACAGTAGCATCCAGTGGCATTACGTTCCGACCGAAGAAAACCCAGCGGATATCGGAAGTCGAGGTGGAAGCACAGTGAATAATGAGTTGTGGAAGAACGGTCCAGAATGGCTGAGTGATTCCAAGACGTGGCCGAAATCCGCGATAATTGAATCCACTCCAGAAACAAACGCCGAAGCAAAGGTTACGAAAGGTATTCTTGCCACAGCAATAACGCGTGATGACGATCGCATGGACAAGCTCCTCGAAGCCCATGGCTTACGGAAAGTCACCCGAATCGGTGCAAGGGTTAGAAGATTTGTCAACAATTCGAAGTGTCCCATCAGCGAACGTGAAACCGGACCGTTAAAAACAGCCGAGATCCGAGATCAGTATCTTTGGTGGACCAAAAGAGCACAGCAAGACGCAGCGATTAACGGTGAGATCGAGAAGTCGAAGGTACAACTAAATCTTCAGCTGAACGGGGAGGGAGTCTTGGAATGTCGAGGCCGAATCGATGGAGATTACCCTATATTCCTTCCACAAGATCACCTCTTCACTCGTAAACTGGTCGAACAAGCTCACCTCACCACTCTTCACGGCGGAGTTGCCATGACTATGGCAAAGATCAGAGATCATTACTGGGTCCCAAAGCTACGACAGCTTGTTAAACGTGTGCGGAGCGATTGCTGGGATTGCAAACGGCTTCGAGTGCAATCATACGAGAACCCACCCCCCGGAAACCTGCCTACCACTCGTACGCAAGGAACTACTCCCTTCGAAGTTCTCGGTGTCGATTTCGCGGGTCTGATCCGGTATCAGACAAAAGGGAAAACCTCAAAGAAAGCGTATTTGGTTCTGTACGGATGTAGTGTTACGAGGGCTGAACGGAAAACGGCGTACTCGAAAGGGCGATCCAGCATTTATACCCACTTGAGTTGTCCATCGAAGAAAAGAACTGGGAACCTAATCCCTCCGCTCCCACCTTCATTCCTCGGCCAAAAAGAGACGCAGCCGTAGCAGCGGATTTACGCGTATGCAACAGCATGCTCAAACGGACAGAGACGATGTGTAACAATGTTTATTTAGTCGTATTAATAATTTAGTTTTGTTATAGGTAGTCACAAAGAACATGAATGGAACTACAACGAAGTCAGTCCCAAAGGACATATAACTCTTGATTGAGCTATATGGGGGAGTGTGTTGGGAACTGACCAAACAGATAAGATATATCGTATAACACTTTAGGGAGGGATAGTTAATTAGGGAGATTAGTCATAGTAGGTATCAGTGAGTGTCATCGTGACAGTGAGAGAGAACGGATGTGAGACAGCTGCGACGAGCATACAATGTGATTTTGGATATTCTTATATTTTCTATTAAAACTTATATATAAATGTGATTTGTCGAGGACTACTGTTTTGGAGGCAAACATTCTCGACATCATTATTACGAACATGCCTCATCTGTATGACCAAAATTTGGTAAAGCCTTTTCCACCTTTCGGATTACCTTAACACTCAGTTTTACTGTTGCATCCCAAATCCTGCAGAACTGTGCGTAACTCCAGTCGCGGCTCCATGACTCGAAGGGACACTCGTCCAAGCCGCAAAAACGAACTTGGCAGGTATATCTGAGCTCCATTGATTGGTCGGCTCCATTGATTCCGTCAAAGGCTGTAAGTGAAAATTATAACTCTTTCTCGACAGAGTAAAAATTGGTGTAGACACCATCATGCCGCTCAAGACTGTCAAATTACATGTAAATGATCCTCCTTGGATTACTGCTGAATTCAACATCAAATTGCACCAGAATGCCTACGCACAAGGTGATCTAGATCGTTCTGACAGCTCCGTAACGTAGTGAATCGTGAACGGCAGGTGCTTCGCAATAGATATTACATCTCTAAGGTTGCGAAACTTAAGAATACCGAGGCAATGGTGGAACGATGTGAAAAGATAGTAGGGATGATCCCGGCGACGCCCACTGGGGATATTCGCTATGACTTGCAGATCGATTGAAAATCGAATAAGGTCATTGCAGACCTCGTCAACACTGCCCTTCTCGAACCCATACAAGAAAACCAAGCCCTTGACTGTCTTCCTTCCATCGATGATAATTCTGAGATCATTATAAGCTCGATGTTTCTTAAATGTATTCAACATTACTAACAGTGAACCCGTAAAGCGTCTGGTTCGGACGGGATACTAAACCGGCTCCTAGAGTATATGTCGATTTTCTTGCGGACCCCGTTTGTGTTATCCTGAGTAGCTCATTCGCCGAACAAGCGCTTCCTGCATCGTGGAAGTATGCAGACCTAACACCACTACTGGCTAAGAAGAAACCAGTTACTATTATTACCAAACATGTTAGACCTACTGTACCTCGCTAATTCCAGCTCTATTAAAGTTAGCTGAGGACTTTGTCGTAAGGAATTATGTCGGATCTGCTGTTGAGATCATCGATCCCAATCAATTTGGTGCCTTCCCAAAGTCGTCTACTACGCAGGTCCTTATTTCCATGATGCACAGGAGCAGCAGTGAGGACCGTGTTACTAGATTATAGGAAAGCATCTAATCTGATCGACCACGGGATTCTAATTGACAAGATTCTTTCCTTTCAGATACTACAGAGATTGTTACGCGCAGAGATTATTACGCGCAATGGTCAAACCAATATGCAGAGTGCCGTAGCTGATGACGAGAAATGGACTATCAACAACAAGCTGCAGCTGAATGCTGTTAAGTGCAAAGAAATGGTCATAGATTTCAAGAAAGTGAAACATCAGTTCGGTGCTATTGCTGTCAACTCCCAAGAACTTGAGATGGTAAACAGTGCCAAAATATTAGGTTTCACGATATCCAACTCCCTGAAATGGGTTAACCATGTCAACGAGGTAATAAGGAAGGCAAATAAACGTTTGACATTTGTATTTTCTGATCTTGCTCAAGCGTGCGAACGTCCCTGCTCGAGATATTATCAGCTTTTACTGTAAAATTCTATTAAACTATCTATCTAGTTTTTATTAAGTTGACTGTATATTTCTCACTTTGAGGCACATTGTAACCAACTCTCGACAAATTACGGACAAAACACTCTCATGTACATATTAGTGCAATCGTGTACTCAGAGCTATTGAACAAGACTGATCAATGCAAGTGAACACAGGGTTCAAACGTAAAACGCATGCGCAAGTATGCGGAAAAGGCCAAAAATATAAGGTAAGGAATTTCACCGCCTTTCCCTTTCCCTTTTTCTGAGTTTATTAAAACCCTCGTAATTGTCTTTAAACTTTTTGCTAGAGCTTTGTGAAGACACTACTATTTGGAAATAGTATATTGAATACCAACAGTCATTACACAGACGTTTGCATCACCACAGTGTTATGCAAGTGTGGAATCATTCTTGTACCCAGGGCCCTTAATACACAAAGTCAATGGAGTGCATTGGCAAGCTCTGGCAAAAACCATATGAGGCATCTAATTGGCCACAAGGTTATCATATTCTAATACTGAATATATTCTTTTCAAAATTTAGGCCAGTTAGGGTGTGGCATTTCAAAGATTTGCCCAACCCAATGAAGTGAATATAACTGGAATGCTAGCTTCAGATAAACTGATATCTTTTTCTTGAAGCCAAATCCAACCCTGTCTGAAAAAGCCAAATCTGTCTGAAAAAGCCAAATCTGTCTGAAAGCCAAATATGTCTGGGGGTCAAGACCCGTTCTATGCGGCCTTGCAATTCTCTCACGTAAACCATTATTAGAAAGAAAGAAAAAAACTAAAAGTAAAGTCTACTAGGAAGTTTTGCCCAAATAAATGGCACTAATAGAAAGCTTTGAGAGCCTGTTAAAAAGCTTTAATTTTTGTTTGGATTGACTGCGCTCTACGCATGCATGAAAAGAATGGGAAGGTCTGGCTTCAAATTTCCGGTTGGAGGTAACATTCAAGCTATGCACCAGTCAATGTAAATCCCTGCCCCGACCGGGGAGGGGTTGGGGATTTAGCCGGGAAAGTGGTCAGTTTTGATTGTAAATGTGTCCCCAATGATGGGGGACTTGGCCGACTTTTCTCTTTCAGTAGGTGATGTGGGACGAAAGCGGGGGAATGGATTCAGTGGTTTAACATTATGTATCCTGTGTTGCTGTTTTAGTTTTCTTTACAAGAAAAGTTTAATAATGAATTTGATTTTCTATTGCTAATCTATGAAATATATATTGTAAAATCTAAATTTGTAGTGATGGGCAATGATACGCTCAAGTCCATCTCTTAGGAAAGGAAGGGCGGAAGAGATGGACTTGTCTCGCATGCAGGGTTTTGAACCTAATTAGATATTTCAATGTGAAATCGATTGACTGTTTTGGTATAATTAATGATTAATTTACTCTTCTTTGTCCATTGTATTGATTAATTACCCTTTCCCTGGGGGCAAGGACAATTTCGCTCTTTTACTACATCCCTTCTAAGTCATACATCCCTTCTAAAATTTCTGACCCTCCCTAACCTGAAGTTCAGGCCCTAATTTGAAATAGGGCCTGACACAAAACCTGTCTAGACCGTGGGACGCCCACATGTTATTTTTAGACACAACATGCAATATGATTGACAAGTGTTGTAGATTTCACTACACAAAAAAATTATGTTCTCATGAACATGTCCACAGAGTGTGCATTTTGCTTTTTAATTAAACTTAAAAATTCAAGGTACTTTTATATAAATAAGATTCAGACAAAGATTTAATTAGTCAGTTCTGTGCACAGCTTGACTGCCAATTAAGCTTTCTCAAGGTCTCAACTTGCTGGACGCGGATATTAGGGATATACTTTATTAAAACGGGCTAACAACAGCAACAATGAAATTCTCAATCGTACCACGAAGAAGGCTATGTAGCTCAGAAAACAACGCCAGGTGGACCTGATATTAAAAATAAGACTTTCGCCGGCGAAGCCAGTTGGCAGAACATCTTGGCTGTCAACAACAAGCTTTCGAATACATGACTTAGTTTGGCTGTTCTTTCGGCGTTGTGTGTCCAAAATTCGTCCAAGATTTTGATAAAGCCCTTTCAAAATACTGTTTGTTTGATTTATTTTCTGCCATAAATCATAAAAGAAAAAGAAATTCGAAGAAATCAATAATATAGAATTTGTATGTGCATTTGACCTTTATATTGTCGCCTTGACCGAGCTATTTTTAAAACTGTTGTTTATGTAAACTTGCAACCAATCAAAATCCTTCATGATGCTGATCAACCAATCAGATTTCCCGTCCACCAGATGGACGGGAATCCCACACTTTAGATAGGTTTTGTGTCAGGCCCTATTCTGTGATTAGGGCCTGAACTTCAGGTTAGGCCCTCCCCGGATCCCTGACCTTAAGCTTGTACCTCCTGGATACTACCTCCAAGAACCTGGGCACTAACAAGTCTAACAATAGCCATAGGAAATCTTTTACAAGTACTGGGATTTGAATCATTCAATCTATGGTAGCGATGACTACACCGCTACTAGATACTATAAATTTATGACACATTTAATATAAACAAATATAAACAATCATATTTACAAGAAAATACTCGGGTAGCGGGTAGGGTTAGATGAAGGTACAAATATCCCATGTTTTATCAAGTTACCAAAAATTTACAATAGACCAACCTGCACAAGCTATTAAATCAGAAAGTGCCAAATAAAATATGATATCCGGATTCGGAGAAGGTCGTCGTCTTTGTCTGTTTCTAAATTGCCTGAGTGACCTGAGTTGAAGTGCTGCGCCAGTGAAGCCAACACTGGCTGTAAACATACATATTCCACCAATTATATATCGTTCTTGATAAGTAAGTATTGACTCAGGAATACAAAATACAGATCTATCACGAAGAAATGCCATTCATTACATGAACAAAGTTATTATATAGTGACTCTCAATCAATATATCTCAATATATTGGTGAAAATATTCTGTCAAAGAATCCGAATATGAACGCCTGCGCGCAGGCAAGCGCAGGCTAGATTGCATAAGATCACTTCACGTATATTAGTCACCAGTCTAAAGGCTGATTTCCACTGTTGCGTTTTTCATACGTACGTATACGCACGTAAAACTTTAAATCCGTTTAAATGTTACTTATGAAATAACCAAATAAATAAAGCAACAGAATTTAGTATTCCGCACGTTTTAGTATGCATTTGTCAACTTATTTGTAAAATATTTAAAAAATAGAAGGATTCAAAGTTTTACGTGCGTGTACGTGCGTAGGAAAAACGCAACAGTGGAAATCAGCCTTAAAGGCTGATTTCCACTGAGGCAGCGTTTTTTACACTGTACCGTTTTCGTAGCGTTCTCGTATTGTTCGAGAGAACTAGACTATTGTCACAGAATAAGGACCTATACTATTGTCTTGCGTTCCCTTGAGGATTAAGAACAATACGAGAACGCTACGAAAACGGTACAGTCAGTGTAAACGCTGCCTGAGACAGCACTGTTGCGTTTTTCATACGTACTTGTACGCACGTAAAACTTTAAATCCGTTTAAATGTTAGTTATGAAATAACCAAATAAATAAAGCAACAGAATTTTGTGTTCCGCAACTTTTAGTATGCATTTGTTAACTTATTTGTAAAATATTCAAAAAATAGAAGTATTTAATTAACGTTTTACGTGCTACACTGTACGCGCGTACGAAAAATGCAACGGTGGAAATCAGCCTTAATCATAGTGTCAGTGAGACTGCATGAAAAGACATGAATTTATAACCGGATATTGCATAAAATTGCATGCATTCATTGCATCGTGGGCTCAGTCAAAAACTTAGGATTGGGTGGGGAAAACCATTTCAATGGGGGAAAAACAAGGGGGTGATACAACGTTGACTTTGTTCTAGGGGGATTGTGCAAATAGAACATAGTGCTGAACGGGAAATTTCTGTCAAATGTGAATGTTTTAAATTTTTGACCCCCCCCACCCCAACAATTTTGAGAAAAGAAATATTACTTAGCGACTGAAATGTTGTGGGGTAATGCGATACTACACTCCCCCAGCCCCCTCCCCTGCTTTAATCTCTTCGCTACGGCCCTGAATCTCCTACCTAGGGGAACAAAACTACATTTAATGAACAGTCCCTCACTTTGGTCACTATGAGATCAGATTGATCAGTGCTTTGATCTATTGGCAACAAAATAAGGCCCAAATTGTAAGTTTAAAGTGTTCTTTATTATTCAAGCATGTGTAATCTACCAATGGCAATGCTTTGTTAAGATGAGCTAGCCATGCAAAGATGAGCTAGTTGATCTTAAGTCTGGTTTCCATATGGTCATAACGGTCGTAAAGATTGAGTAACGATCTTTCTCAGTCAGCCGAAATACAATATTTTAGAACTGAAAATACGCGGAATGATTATAACTAGGGAATACTAATGATTATATGTGGTTTACAGGTATAAACTATTATAAACTGGCCGTCGAGAAAGATCGTGACTCTATTTTTACGACCATTACAATTTGTGACCGAAATAGGCCTTTGCAGCTGGCCTAAAAACACTTTGCACAACAATACGCTCCAGTCACTTATTATTAACTGCAAACAGTACAAAGAGCCTAAATTTCTAATCGTGGAAAACTTCACGTGTTGAAGTGTTGACAGTCAATGATCCAGGGAAGAGCAGGGAATGATTTTCCAAGATTTTCATCCCCAACCGTTCAGTGCCCCACATCCTGGTTATGAGGCTGTTTTCATCACCAAAGTTATTTCCATTTTGCACGCGGATCCGCAAGGATTTTCCATTATCTATCATAACCTTCAGTAATTTCATCAATATGTTACCATTAACAAGATATTAAACAGGTCTGAAACATATGAAGTCATGGCTACGATCCCGAAACAAGTCTCTGGAAGGGTGTATTACCGTTATTAGTAGAAACAGATAACACAAGTCAAACGTCATCAATTGAAAGTATGGTCTTGATTATTTATAAAAAAAACTAGCTCAGTCGTAGCAAAATTGAAAACTGTGTCCATGTCCCTTCTTCTGGTGATCGTAAATCTGCAATTATATCTTCATTGCTATAAAACAAAATAAAATGATACTCACATAATGATTAACAACATGGGGTGGGGGTTAAATCAAGGAAGAGATTATTTCGCTGGCCTCAAAGTGACAAAACGTAACAAAGCAACGGTTTTACTAACACTAACTCTACTCCAAACACCAACTCTGACCCTAACCCTAATCCTTACCCTAACCCTAACCTAACCCTACTACAAATTCGTTTCTAAACCAATCCTGAAGAAAAACGTTTTGACGAAATATCATTCTGAGGTCAGCGAAATAGTTGAAGCATTAAATCAACCTCGCAAGCCATGCAGGCTCTTTATTTCTGCTTTCCGAGGTCCCTATAGACATGCTTCATCAGTGCTTGTTGAGGGAAGCGGAAGAAAAGAGTCTGGCTTGCGAGGTAGAGTTTAAGTAGGCGCTACAGGATAACAGATACTGGTCAAATACAGAAGTGCCACTGAGTGAAATTCACATAGGCTATATATTAAGTAGGAATAGTCGAATAGACATTTTTGTTAGTGGTACGCTCAGAAAATATTCTGTTCACTTAACTCGTTGCTCATTGTCACTCACCTCAGAGTTTACATGAAAACAGTAATTTGTCATATTTCTGTGGAGGATTCTGTAATACTGTCAGGACTTTTACTCAATTATATGCCTGAAGATGTACACTGCACCATTTTGACTAATAGAAAATTTTAACACCAATTTACCTGAGTTCAGTTTTGTTAAAAATAATGTGAATGTTGATAGCAGGTACAAGAAGTCTAACTGCTAATTTTCTCTTGATTTCTTCAGCATTATCGTCGTTTTCTAAAACCATCCTAGAACATGAAACAGAACTTAGTGATAGTTCTCAAAAACCAACTAAGTATTTATTCTACTCAGAAGTTTTCCCCGAGAATATTAATTAACACACTTAATATTTTTTATGCAGGTTTATAACAGACAGTGAGTTTAATATTGTATCTTTGCAATTATACTAATAACACATCAACTGTATTCAGCCATTACCTTATCATTTCCTTGGATTGCGTTGATCCAGTATTTCCACTGTCAAATGTCATGTCAGAGTCCAAACTGATCGAATCTGCGTACTGTGGGGTAATAGGATCTAAAACAATAAAACTTTCTGTAAATATTTCATTGCTTTTCAGTTGATACAAAATGTCTTTCAGAAATCAAGAAATGAAATGAATGTTCTGTTCCTTTTTGGGGGATTTCAGTGGAATCCTCTTGTTCCTTTACAGTGGGCAAAAGTCCAAAAATCGTTAACAGCCAACCTTGTTTCTCCAGTATAGTGTAAAATGTAGTGGAAAGAACCTGGGTACGAGGTTGTGTAAAATCAAAATAGGCAGTGAAGACTAGTTTTACTGTAACTTTAATCGCAATTTTAAGCATATTTTGTGCGGTCTCGATAAAGTGCGCGCGCCGCTCGCAGGCACATTTTGAATTTTGTACGCATATTTTAAAATACTGACATTTTAACAATATTTAGGTCACAAAATCTAAATACGATGTGTTTTTGCAGGCACATTTTGAATTTCGCTCGCAGGCAGCAAAAAATGTTATCGAGGCCTGATTTTGTGCCTCCGGAAAATAGCTTATCTTGTGCCCCCTCAACTCCAACCTCATTGGTGATCAGATGAAGATTTGGGCGCTCTCGAGCTCATAGAACTTGCTGTATCTCATCTTCTGCTTGGATCAGTAAATTAATGTTAAATTAAAATTATAAGGTTAAAATGTTGCACCTTGTTCTAAAAATATGAGCTCATAATACAGATTGTTGGCTTTTCTAAAAGATTCTGGCCAGTTGTATCCTTTGCCTTGTGGTTTGTATGATTCGTGTTTGATGCCAGCATCCTTGCTGTTCATATTTGTACCATAAACGTAATATAATTTCTTTGACTGGTCCTTCTTCGGGCCTTTGAACACATAGTAAAACTTAAATGCATCTTCAGGGTTGACCACAGCATCTGTATATTAAGTGGAAATTTAAGTGAGTAGAAAATACAATACAAAGTTTGGAAGCCCATCTCATCATTATGCATGATAAAACTATATTTATCAAATAAATGTTGAGAAGGATTTTGTAGATGTTCATGCCAAAGGCCTACAATATGAATAGTTGCATTTTTTGCAGCCTCTCCTGGTTAGGCCTAAATAAATGTACAGTGTATTTAAATCTATAATAAGTGTATTTACAGTTGATTATATAGTGAATGTTAATCATCAGGTTCGTCAACAAATGGGTTGATGGGTTTAACATGCTTGAGACTTGTGCAGATTGTTTGGTTTATCGATCGCTAACGCTCTCCACCCTAGCTCATCTTGTCCTGGACAAGCACAAATCATGTTCATTCGACAGAGTAGAACAAAGTAGGACGTATTAAGTACATTGTAACAACAATTAAGTGTCTTACTTGCAAATTACAATATTTCTATCGAGAAATTGCTTTCGAGTACTTTTATTATTAAACTAACCTTCACTGTAGTCATCAAGCTTTGGATGATAAAAATAGCCAGTCTTTGTTTTAGTAGGTACATCTGGATTTGTTTGTATTTTGGCGATATTGCGATGTCTTACTGTTCCATGACCTAAATCCAGTAATGCAGGCGAATGCACAGACAATATCTGAAAAATAATCGTTTTCCATAAAGTTCGTGAATATATATACAGTACTATTAATACCAGGGTTGGAAAAAGTATCGGACCATGGGAACATTGGTCACAGAAAATGTTCTGAGTGAAATATGCAGGGTCTGAAATGTTATTTCCCCAAGAAAGATAAAAATTCTAACCAATAGAAAGTATATTTATACCTCTTGCATTTGTAGGTATTGACTTTTAATGTTGATATGGCATGCACATGGTCGCTCACAAGAGATTGCCCCTTCCACCATTCTTAATCTGCATGTAATTATGTAATATATATTTGTATAGGTTGTTTTTTATTTATCAGATTAGTACAGTGTGGCTCAAAAGTCACCCCCACAATGAGACTTTGCAATGCTTTACATACTGTATCTCTATAAGACACCACCCAAAAAAACCTTTGGGTTTGAAAGACTACAGTAGCTGTCAGAACCTTATTTTTTATTTCAAAATTCATGATGAATTAAATTATGAATATACACCCTATTCAAACCCTTCAAAGTATTTTACTCACTCGTCAAGGGGATCGAAACTATTAAATACTTGTACTTGTAAATTGTACACAAGTTCATACAGCAATAGTAAAGCACTTCTAGCATGAGAGTGTTCATGTTAATGTTACAAAATCTACAACCAGGTTCTGTTTGATACCTGCACATATTATGCAATAGGTTTTCTCAGGGTACTTTTGTTTCTGCCTGTTGCATACTGCTAAAGCCTGGTTCACATATACCTACAGTATATGTCAGCGGGCCAGCTATAATGTCATCAGCAGTGCGTTCAACCAAATAATTCACAAAATAATGTAATGCATCAACAGCTGTAAACCAGAGACGGATTTTCATATTTTCGTTCGGGGGGTGGATAAATATCTGGGGGGGGGGGCTGCTGCTTGCTTTGCCCGGGGTGTGGTGGCAACGCCCGGAAAGGCCAAGGAAAATGTTTAACAAAATTTGTTTTCTAGGCCTGCGCGCATGGCGAGATCTGAAACCATAATATTGGTAATTTTACAAATTTAGTAGTAAGAGTAATCAAATATAAAACTATCAAATCAAAATATATAATAATTTGCGGGGGTGCAAAAACTTTTGGGGGCGGTGCCAAATGCCTCTGGGGGGTGCAATCACTCCCCCCCCCCCCAGAAAATCCGTGCCTACTGTAAACAGTGATAGTGCAGGCTGTGAACCAGGCTTAAACAAACTGTACCAATAAGCAGGCCTCGAATTTCCCTGAGATAAATCGATGGCAATGGCGTTAAAAATTGCCGTAGAACGTAAAAATTTTGGCAGTTTCCACTGCATTTTTTCAAATTACTGTAATAAAAATTTGATTTTATTGTTACTTTGGATTGCTGACAAGCTAGGAACATGTTTTCGTATTTCTTAAGTGTTTTTTTTTCGAAGAAAACTGAGACTAAAAAATACAAACAAACATACAGCCATCACAGCAAATATCATCCTGGGAAAAATTCCATCCTGACAAACATCCCATCCTGTGATCCTGGCAAATGTCCCTGATTTATACATCCCATTAGCTGGGCAAAAGCTGGCAAACATCACATCCTGGCAAATGTCCCATCCTGGCAAACTTGCTCATGTTTTTGGTTGTAATAAATTGTGTGTAATATACACACCCAATAAGCAGTTAATGTCACCATATTTACACGGGTATACGTTCTAGCGTTCTAATATTTGCCACATATTTCTGCATGCATGCATTAATTAAATACTCACTCTGTCATGATCGCCATTCTTTCCCGACGTTTGAGACGCGTTGTTTGATGCAGTTGACCCCATTTGAATTTAAAACTTACACCATCCTGCTTGAAAGTTCTGAAATGTTATGCCCGTTTCTTTTCGACTTTTCACATTATTCACAATAGTGCTTTTAAAATTCCATTTTATTTCGTTCATCAGTTTCTTGGCAACGAAAATATGCGTGTAGCTATACGTCATGTTAGGTGCATTATAGTTGGTCGACATAACGTAGGGGAAAAATGCTCAAGATAGTTATGTCTGACCGCTTCATACATGGGCGTACCGGAAGGAAAAAATTAGGGGGGCGGAAAGAAAATTGCCCGACTTTTCGTAAAATTGCCCGACTTTTCGTGATTTTGCCCGACTAGTACCAAAAAATTTTTCCCGGAAAATTTTTTTTGGCGACCCCCCCCCCCCCCGTCGCCAAAAAAATTTCGGTCAGTGTACCATTTTAGGGGTCAAAAAAATTTTCCGGACGTACCAAATTTTTGACAGAATCACATTAATTTTCCCAAAAAATACATTTGCCCCAAAATTGACTAAATTTTTGAAAAAATTACATAATTTGTCCGATTTTTTTTTTTTACAACCCAAAATTGCCCGACTGTTAATTGAATATTGCCCGACTGCCCAAAAAACTGGGGGGGCGGCCGCCCCCCCCGCCCCCCCGCCCGGTACGCCTATGGCTTCATATATCAAAATCGACAATGTTTGGTCTTATTAAACATTTTTATAAACACCCCCAATAATTTGTTAACTAGCGATAATCTGTGAAGTTTGAGAGGGAAATAATACCTAATAATCGCCCCTGACTAATATAATTATAACTACAAGACAAAACATAAACTAGACTCAATCTATTTATCACTAGAGGAATAAGAATGGGATACTTATTCAGATCTTGTATTTGTCGTCTCTCCTCCACTCTTATTCTTACAAAAACTATATTCGGTCAACATTCGTGAAATCATCATTTGTTAAGCATGCGTTTTTCGTCAAGGTCCAGTGGAGTTTAAGCTTCGAACGCGTTATACGGTAAACGCCTAAACGGCAAACGCCAGGCAAAGAAAAAATTTACGGTATATCAGGCAATAAAGAGTAAATGAACTTGCTGTTTTAAAACTGCAATGCATGACTATTCTTTCGACACAAAAAAGAAAATATGATACGAAAACGTTTAACGAAAATTTTGCGAAGAAAGTTCGAACCTGCCGTTTGCTGTTCCCGGAGGTCTGCATTCAGATTAGGCAGAAAGAACCGATGTAAAATTGTAACATAGCTTACTATATACAACTTTTCTAGCTTTTCTTTTCTGGTTCTCCAGATATTTACTTCCATTTGATATGTAAATGAAGTAAACCTATGACATTATACAAGCGAGTAAAACATTAGTTTCAAAGACGAAGGTGGCAATCTCGTCAAAGTTTCAAAAATGATAATATCATTCAAACTATGATGCTGTGCTGTCAGTGATTCCTTTCACCAACTTGCAACTGGACATTTAGGACGGGAGGAGAGATTCATTAGAACTTAAGTATATAAGCTATAAAGGTTTAATTTCCTAGCTCCTGTACTTACATTATAACAAACGGCTGAAATATTTTGTTTTCATTTCAGTTTGATCAGAAAAAGGCGGCGGCAAAAATATTTCCCCACGTGCTTGCAATAGTACTATACTACAATACATGCAGTATTGAAATTCTTCCGAGAGATATCGCGTTCTATTTAGATATATGCAGCTTGTGAGACACCCAAAACATGCGAGTCACACATCAATATAATGATACATTGAAGGTAACATTTTAGAATTTAATTTAACTCCACTATTCAGGTAAAATTCTAGTTTCACATCTCGCACCCCAACTGCAGATGCTTCGTAAGATTCCTGAACTATATGTCAGTTAAATGCTAGTTCTCAACGAAAATCTGCCCCCTTTGCCCTCTCGCCGTAATAAATATAAAATTCCCTAAAGCTGCTCCATTTACTATTCTAGAAGTTTGGAACACTGTTCTGGAACGATATGAAATGGAGTGCATGCATGTTCTGCAACGATTTAGTTTATTATATACCATGCATGCAACCATGTATTACTACATAGTATATTCATTAGTTAATCGCATAATAAATATTTGCTTTTATTCGTGTATCTAATTATGCTTTTGCAAGGTTTTTACCTCAGTGGTTTTTACTCGTGATTGTGCCCAAATCTGGTGTTCAAAAAGCATATAATAAGTATGTGTCGATATCTTACGGTCAACCCTTCAAAATAACACTCAATGTAGTGTGCATTGGGTGCACAAAATTTCATGTCGCCTCCATTTCCAATCACGTAAAAATGGGCAATGGTAAGTGTTCTGTTCTGGCTGCCCCTACACACGTAAAAACGCACAAGTTGTAACAAGTCTGCAAACAAGCTGTTACAAGTCTGTTCACAAGCTGTCAACAAGTTGTATTCGCATTGCTTGTTCCCAGTTTGTTGTAACAAGTTTGAAACAAGCTGTTAACAACTTGTAACAAGCTTGATGGCATATTATCAGCCTTGTTACAAAACTATGCATACATACATACATACATACATACATACATACATACATACATACATACACACATACATACACACACACTTTATTTAGCTACGCTAGCCCCGACAACTACAATAGTTGATTTACACGGGGGGCGTCCATATAAAAAATATTACAAAGAATATAAAAAGGAAGGAAACTCAGTCTACTACTTTATGTACGTTGTGGCAAAAACTATTGTAATCCACGATGGTGTGTAGATAAAGAAATGATTAACTGAATCCAGACTCGGTTATTAACATCAAAAATTTTGTTTTATACAACTTTTACATATGTAAATTGATTGAGCTTGCTTAGCTTCAAGCGCAAGGTTCTTCCAAAGATAAGCACCGCTATATTTAAAGCTTCTTTTGAAAAATTCTCTGTTTGGCTTTGGAAGGGTCAGATCAGTTTGAGAATTTCTAAGATTATAATTGTTTAGTAAAATGTTTCTACTTATGAATGAATCTTGCACTATTACTCAAGACTTTATATAAGAATGTTGCCTTGGTTAAGATACCATCTTGTTTCCAAATTATCTCAGTCAAGAATTCGCGAAGAACGTCAGCAGATCAGTGTCATAACTGGCGCCAGCTATTATTCTGGTGGCCCGATTTTGGAACTTTTGTATATTATCTTTTATTGTTTTGTTACAACCCCCCAAAGGGAAGAGTAGTAATCGAAGTAAGGCTGTATTAGTGCGTTATAAATTGATATCAATCTGTTTGCAGGAACATAGGGCTTGATACCCTTTAAAATTCCTATGCCCGCACCGACGTTTTGCAAACCATTTCAATATGTTCGTCCCAATTCAATGTTTCATCAAGTTTGACTCCCAAACACGGGATTAAGTGCACTCTGTGAATCAGTTGATCATTAATAATTACGGGGAACTCATTGTCAATTTTAGCAAGATTATGATTTGATTCGCCATACATTAATTTGGCTTTTGTTGAATGATGCTGCAGTGCTAACAAGTTTGTTACAGCCATGATATAACAAGGATGTTACAAGGTTGTCAACACAAGGTTGTAACAATCTTGTTGTATCAAAAACATGTAACGGATTTGTCAGAACAACCTTGCAACAAGTCTGATAATTTCGATAAGGTTGTTACAAGCCAACAAGGAGGGTCCTGAAGGGGTAAAATGGGAACTGGGATTGATCTATTTTTAGACTGGGAAAATGGGATTTGGGTTGCTGGGACTGGGATTTGGCCACTGGGAATGGGAAATGAGTCCTCAAAAATGGGAATGGGATTGAGGTAATGTGAGTCGATTCCCAATTTTTCTGCGTTTTGACTATTTTAAAATACAGTTTTGATCCGTTTTTGGTGTCTTTGGTCATGATTTTTGTTGTTAACTATATTATTCAAAGCACTACCTGCAAGCAGGCATACTCTGGCACCCGGAATTCTGGGTTTTCTGATTATGCGTGTCTCAGAATGCGGCAAATGCCATTTCCGGGATTCAAATTTTAAAATTTTCCGTGCCTGCACACGCCCCCTAATATGTCATAAAAGTGTCCGCCACTTGCTTAAAAGGTCTTAAAACTGTTTATTCTACCGATAGATAAAGGGTTTTATTGACTAGGATTTCAATAACTGGGACTGGGATTTCTAATAAAAATCCAGCTGGGACTGGATTTTGCCAAAATTTCAGGTGGGATTAGGACCCCCTTCAGGACCCTCAACAAGCCGTCAACAAAATGCCAACAAGCCGTCAACAAGATGTATTCACACTGCTTGTCACAAGTTGTCAAACAGGTTTGGAACAACTTGTGACAAGCAGTGCGAATACATCTTGTTGACGGCTTGTTGGCATTTTACTCGAAAATTGGGGTACACACGTAAAAACGCACAAGTTGTTACAGGTCTGCATGCCGGCAAACAAGTTGTCACAAATCTGTTCACGAGCTGTCGACAAGATGTGTTCGTACTGCTTGTTCCCAGTTGTTGTAACTTGTAACAAGTTTGGAACAAGCTGTTAACAACTTGCAACAAGGTTGATGGCATTATCAGACTTGTTACAAGGTTGTTCTAACAAGTCTGATACACTCATGATATAACAAGAATGTTACAAAGTTGACGACACAAGGTTGTAACAACATTGTTATATCATGACTGTATCGGACTTGTTGGAACAACCTTGCAACAAGTCCGGATAATATCGACAAGGTTGTTACAAATTGTTAACAGCTTACTCCAAACTTTTTGACAACTTGGGACAAGCAGTGCGAGTGCGAACACAACCTATTGACGGCTTGTTGCCAGACGTGCTACAAGATGTGAGATTTTTGCTTGTGTAGTCAGAAGTCAGAACATGCAGTTCAGAACAGTCATGTGACTGTCTTCTGGTCCGAACAGTAAATGGAGCAGCTTGCTAGAGACGCCTGAGGAGAAGGTTATAGACAGTAAACATTTTTATTTTTTCCGATCCGTAATCCCAGGTCCGTAACGTAAATGGACCGCTCTGAGGGATCCATATCACACGATACCGACCTCTCGCACACGTTACGGTATGGTCGAGGGGCGAGGGTCGAGGGTAATAGGTCGAGGGCGAGGGTAGAATGTCGAGGGTCGAAAAAAATGTCGAGGGTCGAAAA